ACAAAAATATTTTTTGAAATAAAATTAAAATATATTATAGTAGATGTTGATTTTTAGTATATGATTTGTTGTTATCCAGTTCTGAGATGGGAAACCCTGCCCCCCCCCCAAAGGAGTACTTCTGGGGGCAAAGGGAGGGACTCCTGGTGGCAGAGGTCAGGGCCTAGGGGTGGGACTTCCAGGCCCAAGAGGGTGACCAGGGGGTGGGGCACCTGTTAAGGGCTGGGGCTGCCCTTGCAGCACTTGACAGCTGACCAAAAGTTAATAAGCAGTCTTCCAGCTGAAATAATTGCCTACCCCTGCTGATTGTGTTGCTCTGTTCCTCCCTTATACTACACCCCAAGCCTTTTAGATGTCATAATTCTCTGTTGTTTTCTCTCTATACTCTCAGCCATGCTCTGGGCTCTTGCACCCTCAGGTCCCACATGCAGCCCCCTTGGGCTTTCAGAACTCCCCCTGCCCTAGTCCCTCACTTAGCCCCTCTCTGGGTTCTCAGATCCTTTGGTCTCTTACGCTCTGTCCCTGTCCAGGCTTCTGAACCCCACTAGCACCACATTCAGCCACTTCCTGGGTTCCTGGATCTTTTGGCACCACACCCAGCCCCTCTCTGAGCTTATCCTGTGGTTCTGTGGCACAGCTTATTAGAACTTCCTTAGGTCCCTTGTCTTTGTAGCAGAAAACCCTGTTAAAATATGCCACATTTTACATAGTTAAGTATTCTTTTAGATGAATTATGATCACTTTGTAACATTTCAATTTTTACTGAAGAGTGTCACAAAACTTTATGAGTTTGATTCTCATTTACACATAAAATGTGTTTAATTATCCTGGGATATAAAGGTGATTGTGGTGGGTATAAATTGAAGCTAGATTTATTCTGTCAGTTTAAAGGAGCCTACGTATAAATAAGATTTTGTCCCATTAGTTCAAGTTTGGAGTAAACACTGGACAAGTATAGTTTTAAAATTCTATTTTTAAGCAGTGTCTTTTATAGTGAAATAGGGAAAAAGGGACTGAAGAAAATGTGAGAGATAATAAAACCAAGCATAAAAATAATGTTTTTGAAAGTGTGCCAGGAGACATCATTGGAGGATTACATCTTTGAAAGGTTCAGAGAGACTTAGGTCTCCCTCTACACAGTACATGTATTGCACAATTAACCAGTTACTTGCAAGTTACTTCAGCTACACATACACATGAAAAGTAGTTATTACACAATAAAAAACTCCAATCAGGTATAAAGTTAGACCTCAAAAATGTATATTAACTTTGTAGGTGGTTGCTTTTGAGCTTTAATTTGGACATCTATCAAGATCTCTCTTTTTTGGGAGCCCCTCCCAGCTGTTGGGGCTCCCAGCCTCAGGGATGCACCATGTCCAGCATAAACTCCCTGCCCCCTAGGGATTGCAGCAGCCATTATTCCCATAGTCTGTGGTTTCATGCACAGTGGGCGTGTCTACATGTGCATTTACGCTGGCTGAAATTTACTGCGTAGTAAGTGGTAATAGGCCACTGTCTACATATGCAGGCGTTAAAGCACATTAACACTGTGTGTAGACTGACTTGGAACTAACTTTAGTCCGAAGTCAGTCCATACACAGTGTTACTGTGCAATAAGGCGTCTACACATGCATT